TTTAATGTTCGGCTTCGCCCGAACTTAGACTTTCTTACTTGTTTTATTTAATTTACGTTTTAGAATCTTATTAAATTTTTTTAATTGTTCCTTTTCCTTTATTTATATAAAATTATTTTTAATCTAATTTAAGTTTTATGTACTATTTCCTTCTTTTTTGATTAAATTTGTTTTCATTTTTTTTCATTTTTACTGTTACAAAAAATATATATATTTTCTAAATTTAACTTAATTATTAAAAAACTTATTATTAAAATGCAAAGAGCATAACGTTAAGATCTCTTCGTTGCCAGAATTGACATTTGTCTTACGAAACACTTTTGTCTTTCGAAAAACAGCGCTGAGTTGAAAGATAGTTGCCAGAATTGCCCTGTTAGTTTTTTTTATGTACGTCACAACGAGCCGTTCAGGAGTGGTTCACGTTGAAACTCTGAATGATACCGAATTTGCAAAATGCTGAAAGAAGCAATTTGAGTCCAAATATTTTTACCCTTTGAAAGCTTCGAAAGCCTTAAAATTCAAACAAAATATATCAGATTTTCGCAAATTGTTGAAAATTCATACATACGGAAATAAAAAGAGTAGTGTCTTGGTTTACACAACTAACGAAACGAAAATCAAATTTTCTTAAATTTTTCCGCAGGCATTTCGGGGTGGTGGTGTTCGAACCTCACACATTACGATAATAATGCCAAAACCTCCAGCGAACTGAGTGAGTTTCCATAGCAATTTGAAAATCCACTTAATTAATTCAAGAACATATTGCTGGCGCAAATAGTCAATAAAATGCAAATAAGCTTACGCTGTTGCCAAAAATTTGTTCACCGCCGCCAAAAACAGCGTCAAAATGCAAGTTAGCGAAAACGATAGACAAATTGATGGCAGTCCTCACGCGCTTGTATTTAGTTATACCCAAGTGTGAGCTGCTTCTGAAGCGTAGCTGTACTTTTACAATCGGCTGATGACGTTCACATTGACGTACATATGTATCTAGCCACCCAAGGCCGTCTGCGAAGACGAATTAACCTTGAACCTGTAACACGCAAAGGGCAACACGTAAAATACAACGTGCAGTAATATCTTACTAAATACTTATGTAATACAGTTTATGGAGCAATGAGTCAGCGAATATAAAAAAAACAACTGTTAATAGCGTAGGAAAACAGTAAAATGCTTAGTAGTACAGGAGAGAGACGGCAGAGAGCAGGAATCATACATACATATGTTATACATTATTCATTATTCGCGCTTGTTACACCCAACTACAACTAATTTGATATTCAAAAGAGGTACTCAAGCACGTCAACTTGCATAGTTGGGTACATATACACAAACAAGCGCAAGCAGTTAAAAAGTTTTCGTTTTAAGTGGATTCCCTTTTAAAAAGTTCGACCGATAACTCTTCGTCTTAGGGATGTTACGAATATCTGCATTCGTATTTGCTTATGCAAAATAAATTAATTAGAAAAAAACCTTTATTGAACTTTTCATTTTATTTTATAATTGAAATGTTTGTGTTGAGAACGTAAACAAAAAATCGCACTCAAGTTTTTACTTTTCAAATTTGTTCTTCTGTCTTCCAAAATGCGATTTGTCAATCTATTTCAGACGTGCAGGAATTTATAATTCGTTTATAACTTTTACATAAATATGTACCTCACTGGAGCTCGTTGCTCCAATCGCGAAATCTCCGCCCAATTTTATTTTACTTAGCACTTGAGTTTTGCCGTACAATTTCGCTTTCAAATGCTTACCCGCAAGGCGAATTCATACAAGGTGGTGTTACCGAAGCGGCTGATTTCAAGGCGAATAGTGCCGATTGTCAAAATGATGTGTTGGTTTTACATTTTTTCGTGTTCTGATTGTCACCGTGCGTTAAATTTTTTAGTGTTTTTTGTTTTTGTTTTTGCGCTGCTGCTATCATCTTGTATGAATTCGTCTTGTTTACATGTTTCAATGAATTTTTAGGTTTTGTCATTTTGACATATTTTTCAAATTTAACGTGGCTCAACATAAAAGTTCCGCAATAACTTGCAACATTTTTGTTTACTAGTACAAATCTCTACTAGTTCATGCGGCATATTGAGTTTCTACGACAGCTTGCTATTCAGTGTGGTTCTAAAGTTCACACTGGAATCTCTAAATTCATAAGGAATAACAAGTCGGTCTTCTCCGTAGGTTTGCCAGACCTACCCCATTGAGAGGGCCATACCCCGTTTTGACTTTCTGTCTCTCTTGCTGCGGAGGGTTGCGTAGGTCCCCCATTTTCGAACGAAATAATTCACTTTCCGCCTAAAGCGTCCTCACCTCCTTCGCTTTTTCCACAGCCTCATCGCCATCTTTAGCTGCCTACTCCATTACCTTTAATTCAGTCAAGATTTAGGTCTTTCTCGACCTCGACTCTTTCTAGCGTGTTCAAGTTGCCGCCTTTTCGGTTAGGCTTCTTTAACCGTTGATATACGATTCCCACACTACAAGTTATTTTGCCATGCTCTCTTGGTGTACAGCAAGTCTTTCGCCTATTTGTTGATTTTGGATATGTAGCTCTGACTCTTTTCCGTCGGCTTAGATACCTCGTGTACATTCCTACACCCAGTCGGTATATTTGGGTTTTGTTGTCGCTGTTATCCTGGCTTGCGAAGCGGTTTATCGCCTTTAGCGGAGCTTTTCTGCCGCTTGATAGCCGACCTATCGTTTTCCTCGCCGTTCGCATTATGCACTTTAGTTATATTCTTAAGAATTTTATTTTATTCTAAGCCGCATTCATAAGCAACACCGGTTGTCAGCGTCTCGACCCCTTGGCGCCGCTGCTCTAATTGCACTAAATTTTTGTTTTATCTACTCTACTTATAGTATATTGTTATGACAAAAATTGCAAGATTCCTTCCAACACAACAATGATAAAATGTTTATTTTTTTTTGTAATTTTTCTCCTCTCGAGTTATTCTTTAATTTTTATCAAATTTTATATTCTTTTCCTTTCCAGCACAATTCGAGCGACGGCAGCGGCAGCGGGAATGCCGACGACTACGACACTACCGGCAGCAGCAGTGATGGTAGCAAGCGATGGCACATTGGTGAAAAACGAGCGCAAGTATGTGGACCATGCCAGACACGCTGCAGATACGCCAACTACAACGACAACGAATGATGGAAAAACTATGGCCGAGCAGAGTGGCGTGAGTCACGCTGCAAGAAGACTACGTCGTGATATTGCTTCCTCGCCGGCGTCCATGCACGGTAAGTGAGTTGAAAGGCATGCAGAGGAAGGTCGATGTGTTTGTGATAAAGTGCAGAAAATGAGTGGGGATAGTGAGTGCTCTGGGGAAGGAAGGCGTCGCTAATGGCGTGCAATGCAATTGAAAAATGTTTATTTATAAATTTTTTTATTTCTCGTTCACTATGTTTATTTACCTGTAGTATTGCCGCTGTTTATAAATTTTTATTATTTATTTGGTTTTTTTTTTTTATGAGCGCCAGAAAAATGATTACACTCTTTATTAATAATCATGCCACCAGAGATGGCGATTGCGCTTGCTGCCGCTGTTGCTAGTATTTATAACAAGTCACTTGGCTGTTATATTTAAACTTTTTTTTCCTTTATAATAGTCGTGTCCCTTGTGGCTGAAATTTGCAAATAGCCATCAGCTTGCTTTTATCATTATTCCGCATCATATTTTATTTTGTGTTCGGTTGGGTTGCAACAGCGTTAGTGGTGGCCACAATACATTTTCTTCAATGCATTTTCATTTTGCTTACGGATCTACTTTGGCGGTTCGATGGCGCACGCTTGAGTAATCCGTTATTATGCAGAGGATGCTTATTTTACTACTTATATGTAGTAAGTATGTGCGCGTACAGAAGCAGTAAGTATATAGTGCTGTGTGACTTAAACGAGCGATTGTATTGCACTATACTTATGGATTTATATTAATCAAGAAAAAGGCTCGCAGGTAAATTATGTGAAGAGTTTAAGGTTTAAAGTAGCGACCGCAAACAATGATTATTTTATAAATTTTAACAAAAAAATCATGTTGAAAGAGAAATGTGAAACAAGCAGTAAACCAAAATCCTTTTTGTTACTCGAACCACCTTCAGCGGCACTAATTTTTATTTTGTTAAAAAAAAAAGTTTAAAAATTTTTCTGAGTTTTTTTATTGGTCTGAAAATAATCGTTATTTTTGAAGTTTAATTTTTTGCTTAGAAAATAAAACAAAATTTTTTCAAGCAAATGCTAAAGATAAAGTTAGTTTTAATAGTAATGGTATTGGTAATCTTTACGGTATTGGTGCTGGTAATGGTAATGGTAATATTAATGGCAATTGTAATAGTAATGGCACTGGTAAAGGTAACAGTAATGTGGTAATGGTACTGGCGATTGTAAGGGTAATGGCAATAGTAATGGTAATGGCAATGGTAATGGTAATGGCAATGGTAATGGTAATGAAAATGATAATGGTAAAGCTATTGATAATGGTAGATAATGGTAAAGGTAATGCTAATTGTTATGGTCATCGGGATTGTAACGGCAGTTCTCGTTTTCGTGTTTACCTTCGTATTCGTGTTCGCATGTGCAGTCGTTTTCGTTTTCGTTTTCATCTTCGTGTTCGTATTCGTTTTCTCATACGTCTTCGTACTCTTATTCGTACCCGTGCTGCGTTCATATTTATCCTCGCCCTCAGCTTCTTAATTATCTTCTCTTCTGTTTTTCTTTACGTAATCACATCTGTCATAGTATTCCACGCGGTCTTTCTTTTGATTTTAGTCCTCGTATTCCTCTTCGTATTCGTGTTCGGCTTCATATTTTTATTGGCTTTCACCTTTGTCACCGTGTTCGGTCTTCTTTTTCGTATTCGTAATTGCCTTCATATGCATGTTCGCTTTCGTGTTCGTCTTTGTATCCATCCTCTTTGTATTTGGATTTGCGTTACGCTTAGTATGAATCAGTCCTTATCCTTCAGGGTATCAAATTATAGTTTGAATACTATTTATTTAACGATTTTTAAGCTCACTACCGCTCTTTAAGGAAAAATCCATAAGCTACTTTGGAANTGTTCGGCTTCATATTTTTATTGGTTTTCACCTTTGTCACCGTGTTCGGTCTTCTTTTTCGTATTCGTAATTGCCTTCATATGCATGTTCGCTTTCGTGTTCGTCTTTGTATCCATCCTCTTTGTATTTGGATTTGCGTTACGCTTAGTATGAATCAGTCCTTATCCTTCAGGGTATCAAATTATAGTTTGAATACTATTTATTTAACGATTTTTAAGCTCACTACCGCTCTTTAAGGAAAAATCCATAAGCTACTTTGGAAAAAATTAAAAACCAAAATTTGAACGAAAAAAATTACGATTATTTTTCAAGCAAAAAATAAACTCNACCAAAATTTGAACGAAAAAAATAACGATTATTTTTCAAGCAAAAAATAAACTCAGTAAATAAATAATAATTTAAAAAAGCATTGATGACGAAAAAAATGCATAGGCATTCACACACTACTGTTTAGTCTACAAAACACGCAATATAAAGATATCGATATGCACCTCTTTCGGGGTTTTGTAAGTTTTAGGTGCGCAATTCATACAGACTATAATATAAATGAGTATTTTAGTTTTCACGGTTCGGTGGCGCTTGGCATATTTTGTAAATTTATGGCGAAAGCAAGTGCTCCCAGTACACAAGTTAGACCGAAAGGCCACGCTTACTCCTACATACATGTGTAGTCAGAAATTGCGTATACGCAGTGGGGTAGCACTTAGTGTAATATGTTTTACCCAAGGCAAATGAGCGAAAAAAACATTCATGTGTATTTGGTTGTTGCTTTTGATATTTAAAGTGTCACAAAACAGGCTATTTCCTATAAATATCATTGTGGGCGGTGTGAATTGTAAACACAAATTTAAATAAGAATATTAAGAAAAGAATAAAAATTGGTGCAGCTCTCTTTTTTTGTAAATCTGTTTCATTCCAAAAGCATCAATACATCCTTTGTATAGCCCAGTTATCAGCGATAATGCAGGCTTGCAATCGCTTCGTTTTTGAAGATTTACATGCAAATACATTTTGCAAATTAAAAAATTTTTGTGAAAAAAATTATAATATACATATGACAGTTTAGTAACCAAATAATTTTGAAAAAAAAAAACTCAAAATAACTGCTCTCCTGCTACTACCTACTTATTTAACATGGCTTGGTTTTACCTTATTTCTATTTAAATGATAACAAATCCACATAAAAGTTTAAGCATTTCAAAGTAAACTTTAAACATTAATATGGACAACATTTTATTAAAAAAAGTTGAGTAAACTTTCACAAATCTGCCATTTACACTGGCATTTCTGTGGCTGCAAAAAAAAATACCACAAAATGTCGCCGCAAATAAACGAAAAAAACAATCTAATCCAAATAAAATTATATTTGGTGGTTTTGCGTACATTCCGTTAGACCACAAACTAGGAATTTGAATATCTACATATGTATGTATGTATGTACATATGTACAAATATTTGTGTATGCAAAATTTTATGTAAATTGCTTTGTAAGTTACGTATACGCCCCAGTAAATTTCCATGCGTTGAAAGAGGCAGAGTTTCGAGGTAATCACTGTATTACACGAAATCAAACACTCATTTAAATGGCAAAACATTGAGAAAGTGAGTTAAAAATTAACATATGTACGCATATGCACATACTTACATCTATTATGAACACGCATGTTAATCTAAATATATATACATGGTCTTACATACGCTGTTCTTTGAAGTCATTAGTGAAATGTAAGCATATTTTGCTGACTGTTCAAAGTAAATACATATATTCGTATGTATTTTTACCTTCCCCAAAATGTGTTTTTGAGGTTGTTACAATGTTAGATTTCAAATCGTACATGTGCTTTCAGCTTATCTCTTTTAATATATGTATATATTAACATATGTACGTATGCATGTATGTATGTATGTATGTGCATACCAAGGTATGCCTGTAAGCAATTTGCGCTTTGAAATTGTTAAGTAAACTGTTTGAAATAAAAGTTAATGGGATTGCGAATGNGTGTGCTTTCAGCTTATCTCTTTTAATATATGTATATATTAACATATATACATATATTAACGTATGCATGTATGTCTATATGTGCATACCAAGGTATGCCTGTAAGCAATTTGCGCTTTGAAATTGTTAAGTAAACTGTTTGAAATAAAAGTTAATGGGATTGCGAATGCCCGTAGCTACGCTCATTTAACCTCTCTTAAAGATTTTGTACCTAATATGATTTTGCTGTTTATTGGTGGCGGTGTCGGTGTGTATGTTAGCAAAAGCAATTTGCCACGTAGCTTTGATTTTGAGAATATGGAATCCTAATTTGATATTTAAACTGTTAGCGTATGACGCAAATTGGTTTGAATTAGTTTCAGGTTGTAATACTTAATATATAAAAATCTCTGTAAAATTCTTAAAATTTCAACTCAGAACAGTTATTATATAGTAGAAGATCCGACAAGGGCACGGACCTTCACCCATCTGTTTAATGGATGAAATCTACTTTGTATGAAATTTAACGTATTAGGAAATATTTCGCGGGGTGGGTTCGCTGAAAAAATCCTAGTCAGGATATTTTTAAATAAATATTCAAAAATAATTTTTTTCTTTTCGTTTTGCACTCATTTGCTTAATGAAAAAATTATATATATATACCAATCGAAAGCATAAGTTCCATAGAATATGTTAAAGAGATCAGTGAAAATTATTAGTATTACCTAACTGTTTTTAGCTACCAACCCGATAGGTAGGCCAGGAAAAAAATAGAAAACCCAACGTTTTCACATTCTAGTTTATGTGGCCGTTCGCGCACTGGCAAACCATCAGCGTTGTTTGTAATATATGTATAAAGGGAATGATGAGACGAAAGCTAAGGGTTTTTTAACCCGGCCAAAATCGCTTAGGCGGTTAAAGCGGCCAAATAAGCAGAAGAATAAGGGGTTTTGAATGCAGCTGTGAAGTAGGCAAACTTTTAAGGTAAATAAGTAATAAGTTATTGGTGATTAGCTGTGCGCGATATCATTTCGCAGGCCTCGGTTAAAGCCACGGTGGAGAGAATACAGAAGGTGGCGCCGATGGCAATACCGCTAATCGGCTCTCAGTTAATTTGACAGAATCAGCTGTTTTGCTGACGTCACAGTCGAGTTGACAGCAATAGTGATGTGCTGAATCAATACTTTTAAGTATCCAGTACTCTCGATACTCGGTACCCACACATTTAGGTTTCGAATAAAAGCGCACATAGGCCAAAAATATGGAAAAAACGGTGGACAAAGAGGTGGCGGTGGAATGTTTCTTGGATGTGGAGGGCGCTTTCGACAAAATGGAACATTCATTAATACACAATTGCGCACGCAAAGGGGTTGATGAAACCACATGCCGCTTGATAGCAAAGGTACTTAAATCCTAATCAGAGGTAGGTTCGAAGACACTTTATCCAACCTCCTACAGAATGCGGTGAACATAGTCGTCAATTTGTGCAGCAACAATGGTTTAAACGTAAACCCCAAGAAGACTAGCATTGTCTTTTTCTCAAGGAAAAGGAAAAGGGACAAATTACTAGGACCATTCCTTNCATTAAATCTAGAACCATTACTTCCACTCTAGGACAGGAAAGAGTCAGATTCTTAGCTACGAAAGGTTGCCCGCAGGGGTTAGTGATCTCCCCTCTGCTATGGTCCATGGTGGTACAGGAACTACTCTGCCTTCTTAGAGAAAACGGCCTCAACGTTAAGGGTATGCGGCTGACATTTTCCTAATCAAAGGTAGGTTCGAAGATGCTATCTCCAACCTCCTACAGAATGCGGTGAACATAGTCGTCAATTTGTGCAGCAACAATGGTTTAAACGTAAACCCCAAGAAGACTAGCATAATCTTTTTCTCAAGGAAAAGGAAAAGGGACAAATTACTAGGACCATTCCTTCAAGCTGAAAAGATACACTTTTCTAAAGAAGCCAAATAACTAGAAATTATCCATGAATCCGCGCCCAGATAAAACTATTCAAAAGGCCTGGCCTCTGTTCTGCACCTCCCGGAAGCTTATGGGCCGGAATTGGGCATTAGACCTAACTGGCAAGGCGGATGCATGATGTCATCTCCAAACCCAAGAAAGAAGCGAAGCGAAGTCCACGCAGGCCAAGTTCAGCGAGGTACACCGACTGGCCTGCGTTAGCATCACTGGCGCGATGAGAACAACACGAACCATCGATATCGAACAATACAAATCTGATTACGTGGTGTTAAACAGGCGGCAAAAAAATTACACTAAAAATCAATGCGAATTCTTAGTCGCTTTGTTATATTAAAATGTCATGGGCTATAAAACTGCATACCCTAAAAAATCTGATTAAAAAAGGTTGAATTTCGAATGAAAATTGTTAGATTTGTTAGCACGGTTGTAGTAGTTATAGCATAATAAGTTTATTTACAAAAAATTTACCAAAAAACTGTGATTTGAGAAATATTGTAAATATTTAAAAAACTTGTGCGCCGGTGCATGTACATAGTTACGTCGTTTGTGTGCGGAAAAATATCTGAAACCAGAAATCTTCATCATATTAAATTTCGATTTTCTCTCATGAACTGAAGAAAATAAAGCGCCAAGTTTTCTTTATGAGCCAGTTTGTGAAATAAAATCTTTTATCCAAATATACTAGACACATTTATTCGTACTTATTCCCAAATTCAAGTCTCCTTCGGCCATCAATTTTAATTTCATTCGTCTGTGAACTTTATTTTGTAAACGCGCTTTAAGTTGGCGCAAAGGTGAATTATCTCTGGGCAAATTTTGACGAAGTGTAATAAAGTTTTATACGAGATTGGGAGAAAACTTTAGCCTAGCTTTCAATTCAAAAAGTTTAAGCAGGGTAAGTTGAGATCATGACCTCATTTACTAGGGTCTATAAAACACATATACATACGTACACATATACTTATGTACTGTAATATGTATGTAAGATTGTGCATAAATCAAATAAATAACTGAGTGCTATGTACGCATTTATACTTCCATACATCGGTCATTCCATGTATTTAAAAGTGGAAACGACATAAAATTTTTAAATGCCCTAATTATCTCTATTTCAATAGTAACCTCTTTTTAATGGCTTCATTAATCAGTTGCAGGATATTTAAAAGAAAGTAAGTTGTAATTTTCGTTTATGGAAATTTTTACTTTATGCATAATTACTTTACACCAATCATAAATTTAAATATTTTTTAAAATAAAAGCGTATAGTTCATATTTTACAAAACACAAAAACAGCTTTAGTGAAATTCAAGTGTTTTGGCTAAAATTCGTCTTTCAGTGCACAAAGGTGTACCACAAATCACATTCATTCAAATGATAGTTACCCAAAACTTGGAAATCGTTTGGTATTTTTGTTAAGGCAATTTTATACATTTGTTATCGTTCTACGTCAAAAAATATCTTTCGCTGTTTCATAAGTTCCGACGACATAGTTATAATTCACGATTGATCGTATTCTGAAGTAAAATGTCTTACCAGCCACAATGGAATGACCCATATATGTATAAGTGAATCTGACCATTGTACGTTAAATAAATAGTATGTACAAATGTTTGCTGTGAAAAGATACTTAAATCTATCAGAGTTAAAAACTTTTACAATTTCATTAAATTCGCAGAAATTCCGAACAAACGTCCAATGTGCCTTTCGACGTTGTCAAGTAGTATCTGCACTGATAGCTGCGATTTGCAATGTACATACATACATATGTAAATGGGTATTAATAGCTACTTGTAGTTTTAACATCGATATCTTTCACTCAGCAAGCCGACAGTGCCCCTTAAAAAAAAATGTAAAATTGAAGTGCACCTTAAATTTGCATTTTTTCGTTTCTGATTGCCAGACTCCTTTTAATTTCCTGTACTCATTCTCGAAAGGTGTGGCCAGCATCCTCAGCTTAACTACATCTTCACCCAATCGCCGCCATGCAATTTGGTCGGCTGAGTGCCATTTTTTATGTATTTANACCTTAAATTTGCATTTTTTCGTTTCTGATTGCCAGACTCCTTTTAATTTCCTGTACTCATGGTCGAAAGGTGTGGCCAGCATCCTCAGCTTAACTACATCTTCACCCAATCGCCGCCATGCAATTTGGTCGGCTGAGTGCCATTTTTTATGTATTTAATGTATGTATTTGTGTGCTCAGTTTATCCTTCAGCTTACCTTTTCTTCCTGTGCAGAAACGCATTACAACTTTTTTCTTTCCACTTAAATTTTCATGAAAATGTAAATATTTCATTGATTTTCTTTTTGCGGTCTTTTTAGCTGATCCCGTTATTGAATTTTTCAACCCGGATCACCGTAAAGTGCTCGAAGAGCAGGATAAGGAAATACGCAAACGTACAGGGCTGAAGGGTGCAGCGCCGGGAGGTGATGAGTGGATTTACCTAAATACCTACTGTCGTGTGCCGGTAAGTGAGAGTGCAAGCTGTGAGTATTTAGCATAAATAAAGAGTTTAAACTTAAGCTTTAAAAATGCAAAGATAGGTGATGCTTGTTTTTTTTTTTCGATATGCACGGCTGATATTTAAATCGAAAGAACTTGAAATCAGGGACCGAACATAACAGTTATTGATGAAAATTGTCAAGGAAAAATTCACTATGAAGAAAATGTTCTACAACGAAGTGATACATACCAATCGATTGCTTTTTTTACCGAGTCTCAAATTTGAAAATAAGTTTTTATTTGCAATTTTTTGCAAAATTAAAAAGAATAACTATTATTTTTGGTTTTTATATTACCATTCCAGAATAACAATTATTTTTAATTTTTATTTTATATATCTTAGATAACAGTTATTGAGGACATTTATTTGTAAAAGTCATAAATAAACATCAGTCAATGACTTTTACTTTTAAAGGTCATCAATATAAATTAGTCACCGACTTGTACTTTTTAAATCATCCATATAAAAGTCACTAACATTTTTCGCAGTTAAGACTGTGTTGGGAAACAAAAGTTTACTGCGACTTATACAAATGGCTTTTATAAGTATGATTTAAAAAATAAAGGCCAGTGACTGATTTTTATTTATGACCTTTATAAATAAAAGTCTTCCATAACTGTTATCTAAGACGTATAATTTAAAAATCAAGAATTTACTGTTATTTGCAGATTATTTAAATAAAAATCAAAAATAATTGTTACCCTGGATTTATAGAATAAAAGTCAGAAATGACGGTTGTTTAAGGAGTAATTAAATAAAAGTAAAAAAATAATTTTTACAGAGCGATTTTTTTAATAAAAGCTGTAACTGTTACCGTCCCTGTTTGAAATATAATAAATACCTGTTGAAAACATTATGCAATACATAAATATTTGGCTTTCTTCCTTTGAAATTAAATAGAAAAACTTGGATTTTTTTTTACCAGGAAAAAATCATAACCGGATTCTGCAAAGGCACTCAAGACTACTGTCCACCGGCGCCACAAGGTCCACCTGGCCCTGCGGGTGCCAAGGGCCCCACCGGACCGCCTGGTCTGCCGGGCATTCCTGGGCCAAAAGGCAATCGCGGTGATGTCGGACTACCGGGACCGCGAGGAGTAGATGGCGCAAATGGGCCTATAGGACCACGTGGACCCAAAGGTGACATTGGTATACCGGGGCGAGCTGGACTTGATGGTCGTGATGGTGTACCTGGTGAGCCTGTCCTAGATGGTGTACCCGGCCGTGCAGGTGCTGATGGTATACCGGGCAAAGATGGGTTGCCAGGTTTGGATGGTCGAGATGGATTGAACGGTAAAGATGGTAAGGATGGTGCATCGGGACCAAAGGGTGCACAGGGACCACCTGGAGAGCGAGGACTCAAGGGTAAGTTGTTAGAGTAAAGATAATCTTATAGTTTGATGTGAATTCTTTTATGTAAAAGATTTATTGAAACTCGGATTAGGATGAAGATATAACAGCCTTGTTATCTATATCGAACAATATGCATCATGAGACGTAGATGTAGTTTTAGGTTTAACGTGAGTACCTGCAGCAATCCAATGCCGTCCAATCTCCACGGAGCCCCTAAAGCTCAACGGATCAATTCAATGCGAAGATCTGCGCCCCGAAATGCAAGCATCTCGGTACCATTTGGCAGTGTGGAATGGACACACTAACCACCTTGGTAGGGTTCGAGGCCTACCTAAACCTCTGCCGTGCTATGGGTCCGGCACCCGGTTGCAGTGCAACTCCACACCGAGCCAACACGACTCTCACCGCATTTGGGTTTAAACCACAGCCACCACGATACTCCCCGAAGGGGCCGTACCCATGAACAGACCGGAGTAATGCTCGCCGGCGAGATTTGCTGGACTGGCTCAACTCACCCTGACCCACTTAACTGACTCAGCTCACACTAGAACGACTTACACAACTACTTCACTCCCCATTCATACTCCGTCTTGCTCGTCTCACACGTTCGCCTCGCTCGAGGGCACCCTCCGCATCCAGGAGCGATGACACCACTTGCTCAACTTCCGACCGATCGAGTTGCTCGACACACATTCAACATCTTGCTCATCTCACACGTCCTACTCGCCTCGCTTGTGGGCACCCTCCACATCCAGGAGCGGTGACACAGCTCAGCTTTCGCAACGGATCGAATTGCTCAACACACATTCACCATCTTGCTCCATCTTGCTCATCTCACACGTCCTACTCGCCTTGCTTGTGGGCACCCTCCGCATCCAGGAGCGGTGACACAGCTCAGCTTTCGAAACGGATCGAATTGCTCAACCTGCGCAACTTTTCCACCATTACCAGCGGTTTCCACCACACTTTTCCTCCAATTCAACATTATCACCATTTTCACCATTTTTTCCATTTTCTAGTCGTGTAAGCCATGTCAGTGTTTGCCTTGCCAGCCTTGCAAGCCTTGCTTGTGTCACCAGTTTTGCTCGTCTCGCCAACGAACACACTCCGGGGGCATCTGTTCCCCGTGGCACCATTTTTAAAGTCTTTGGTATGACTCTCGAAAGCCCTAGACTCTTCTTCCAGTTGAGCCTCCACCTACTCAGGACTGGGGTACCCGGGATTGTGACACCCGTAGCCTCGCAACGCGAAACCCCCCTGGGCTCGTTGGTACGGTAATCTTCACATCGGAAACTGCGTAAGCACATGTCCTACACAGGTTCCCATGCGAAGCATCCCTGTTAGTTCATGCCGACATGGAAACCCCTTAGGGCAACCATGTCACCACTTAAGGTCTAGCCCCGCGACAAGGACAATCATGAGACGTAGAATGGAACTTAAGCACTTTAAAAAAATTTTGCCCTAAAAGGAATATAAACGGATATGCTTTAAGTTTCAAGGGCAAAACGAAAGAACGCCGAACATAGGTCAGCATTATGAGAAGACTTCCATAGCTTTGTACTCTGTAAAAGAACCATAGACAAAAATTGGGGTCTGAACAAAGGCATCTGGATTAGTACAAAGATTAGTACAAAAGCAGATCTCGTATCTATTATATATCTGGTCAGATAATAAATATCAACCCTGTCTCCTCTTTGTTTGAGAGAACAATCTCCCTTTTAGCCGGTACCGCTTTTCTGAGCAAATTTGGCTTATTTGCGCACCAGAGTACTGAAACTATAATTGTAGGTAAAAATATGAACAAAGAAATGTCAGGCATGGACGGTTCAGCAGCAAGATTTAGCGATCCCTCGCGCAACATTACATTTTTGATAGATGGCTCGAAGATAATTGAGAAAGAAGCCCTAACTCGAACTACACATTTCAATTGTAGGCCTACTACAATATCTTTCAAAATCGAAATATTCATAAAATCTGTATTTACAGTACGATTTTGATAGAATTAGAAATCTGTACTGCAGGTATATTAAAAATAATTTAACTAGCAATTTATCCACTCGAAGGCGCTAGTGTCAAGTTATTCAGAAAATCCTTATTTAAAGTCCGATTTTGATGAAACAATATATTTGCAAAAATATCTAATTGAAAATGCACACTGCGTGGAGCTATATTTCTACAATTAGGGGATTCGCAAAACGTGTTAATCGAAATATTTAAGCTTATTTTTTTTTTTATATAAAATAACAGTTAAAATTGCTTTGGGGGCGGGGGTGGGGACTAATTACATATTTTTTTTATTAGTTTACAAACAATTCGGTGTAGTTCGAAATCCCCTAAACCATTTCAATCATTATTTTACATAAAAAAATGTTTAGCTTAAGATTTTACCGCGGTTAACACGCCTTGTTAATCTCCTAGACATGCAGAAAATTGTTTTTAAATTCATCTAGGTTGTATTTTAACCCTTAAAATCTGCCGCAAGTACATATCGATGGCTGAGTGGAAGATCGACCTATCTCGGCAGCCAGTTCGAAAACGCTCTATCTCAAAAAACTTTTCAAGAACGCCCTATCCAGCTGCCGATTCCCAAACGCCCTATATCAGCATATTTTCAATACATTTTGAAGTGTGATAGGGCGTTTTTGAATCGAATTTTGAGATAGGGTGTTTTTCAATTAAATTCTAAAATAGGGCGTTCTTGAAAAAGTTTTTTGAGATAGAGCGTTTTCGAACTGGCTGCCGAGATAGGTCGATCTTCCACTCAGCCATCGATATGTGGAAAAGCAGTAATGTGGCTCGAAATTTCATTCCATAGATGCAGAAAAGACCAGGGATTCTTTTGTTAAAATATCAGCTTAAAAACATATAGCATAATAACTACAAGCAAAGTGTATATGAGTTTATATACAGTAAGCGACAAAAATATGAATACCCTGACTTCTTGAAAGTTTATTTGTTTAAATTTTTCATAAAAATTTTACTTATTAAAAGATATAGTGCCAACAGCAAAAACCACAAGAATCAACTTTTTTATTTTCATACCGAGCTCGTGAAAATGCAAGAAATACCAAAAAATTGTCACCAAAAATTTAACATTTTCTAATTCGATTTCTTAGAAAAATTTCAAGTAAGCAGTTGTTTAGTTTTGTGTAAAAATAGATTTTGCTCTTGCGTTATATGCAAGGTAATGCGGAACACGACAAAAAATATAAAAAAAAAATCAACGGTAATTTTTTGCGACTTGAAACTTGCACTTTACTATACTAAGGGCCATTTTCTGAAGTAACCTTTAACTTTAAAGCTCACTTTATATTTAAAGGTTGGATTAAAAATAAAGCTATGTCTAAAGTTAAGCATTTCTATTATCGGTTTTTGCCGTATGTTTGTTTCTTGGTTGTAAACCAATTGAAAACCAAAAACAAAATGCTTTACTTCAAACACAACCATAAATTTTAATGCAACCTTTAAATATAAAGTGAGCTTTAAACTTACAGGTTACTTAAGAAAACGGCCCTAAAAATTACATGCTCAAAATTTTTCTAAGACATCGAGTCGAAAGATTTAAAATTTTGATGAAAATTCTTTCTTTCTTTAAAGAAATCTATTCTTGTAGGGTTTGCTGTTGAATGAATTAATATAATATAATAGATTGGCGCTTACAAATATGTGTTAGTGCTTGGCCGAGCTTCTCCTCCGATTTGTGGCGCTGACTCCGAACGGCGATTGTATTTTTATGAGAAGCTGTTTTTCATGGCAGAAATACACTCGGAGGTTTGCTCTTGCCTGACGAAGGGATGACCGCTGTTAAGAAAAAACCTTTTTTTCTATATTTTTTTTTGCGATGTTGTTTTGACCAGGACTTGAACCCCGGCCCTGCGGAGTGGAAGCGCGCACTGCTTACCACTAAACCACAGCGGCCGACTGAATGAATTATAATTTTATAAAATAATAAGAAAAATTTGGTATGGTAAATAAAAATAAATAAAACCGTCAAAACGTCAGGGTATTCATTTTTTTGACGCTGACTGTATTTTGCTTATAGCTATGATGGCACATATATTTGAGCTCTACTCATAACTTATTGATTCAAATTTCGTGACTAATATTATTCTAGTCCTCCTACCATAATTGGCCTCCATTTATATCTACTATGTGGGAGATTAGCGTTAGTGGAAGCTGCATTCAAAAAATAATTGAACTAAAACGGGCAGAGTCAATATATGCTTTTAGCGTAGGGTCAATAAATAAAATAAATATAAATAATGCGTTCTTTTGTACACGCTTCCATTATGAATTTTCGTTTCCATTTACAATTTCATTTGTTCTTGCTTATCGGGATGGCGCAGTTATTGTACTAGTTTAAAAATATGTATATGTATGTTTGTACTTCATGCAAGTTAAAGAGCTGGCTTCACTACAGGTTTCTTAAAGTCGTACTGCGTCCTTTAAAGGAAAATACTTTAACCTAAACGCTTATACTACATTTGCATATGTATGAGTTCACACAGCAATGATTACTTTCTCCGACTAGCTGAAATTACTTTCTCAGTTGCTGGCTGAGATTTATAGTTGGGAGTAGTTGCATAGTTTTAGGAGCTGCTAAAAGAATATCTAAATTCGCCACTTCGATGCGGCGCAATTTAGAGTACTTTGACTTTTTCCTTTGTTAAATTGGCTTTTGCATACTGATTCTTCTCTGATTTGTTTCCATTACTTGGCCTTGTATTGCCAATCTAAAGATTGTTTTTTTTTTTTGCGAATATCCTTGTTACGTATTCACTATGGCAGCTTCAATGTTGTTTATCTTTTTTCTTTTCTCGGATGCTGTTTGTTGGCATTGTTTGTTTACTGTTTTTCTTTTTCCTCGCTCATTTTCGTTTGTGTTGATTGGTTGTTTTTGGAAAAGCTTTTCGCATGGTATTATTCCACCATGAGTTTTTGGAACTTTTCTGAAATGTTACTTCTGAAATGTTGATTCAATGTTACCAGGAGCAAGTAAATTTTTGCTTAAAGAAGTAAAGAAAACATTTGCTAATAAAGAAGAAAGCTTTGCTTTTTTTGTGTCCTTTATGGGATGCTAGAGGGTAGTAGCTATTTTTTGTATGAAGCATTTGTGCGCTTTTATAGAATCAAATGCACATATAATATGCGGCAGTTTCCGATAGGCCTTGAGGCAAACATTTGTATTATATAGATTCATATATTGGGCCCTATGAATTACAACTAATAGCCCATTTCCACCAAGCGCTTAATTGCAGTTAGGAGCCCAGGTAAGTGCAAATAACGTTAACGTAAGGTGATCAGCAAAGTTCATTTCTTACTTTGAGCTTTTTTGGTCTCGATTGCTTGCCCTTTATGAGAGAAATTACCCCCTCGGAGCTGTGATCGCCTTTTTCCGACAGGCATAAACTGCAGTTAAGGCTTAGTGTAAATGTATTATAAAAAATTGCTCTTTCTTAAAATTTCAGAGCTTTTACTCGATTTATTTAAATACATTTTTAACAAGTAAGAAAGTGTAAGTTCGGGCGGAGCCGAACGTTAAA